TATATATATATATATAAAAACTTTTACTTATATATATATATATGTGTGTGTAAAAGTAATGGATATATATATATATATATATATATATATATATGAAAAAGAAGTAATGGATTAATATATATATATATATAGATATATATATGTATATGGAATAGAAGTAGTGGATTTATATATACATATGTATGTATATATATATAATTACATTAATTTTTATATAAATATATATATATATATATATATATATATATATATATATATATGTGCAGGTAATAGAGAAATACAAAAACAACTCATAAAATAGTACGAGTTAGTGTAAATGTTGGTCCAAACTATTTAGTGTTTTTTATAAGATTATTCTTTAAGTTGTTCGATAAAAAATGCCAGAAAACACGAAGCAATTTATACGTTTATCAGATCATCCCGCAGACAATAAGTAAATAAACTTACAAATGTGAAGAGAATCAAATTCTTTCCATAAAAAAGTGGAGGTTGCGAATGTTTTGACTACAACTCTTATTAATTATTTTAACGTGATTTAGAAAGAACATTTTTCTTCTTTTCTTGTTGATTTTTGCTTCTGGTTTCGTTCAATTTCGTCCATTACATACATTTCTTGAAGTTAGGTGCTTCTACTGTCTGCAGAAGGAGTACAACTTGGACTAACCTCATAAAAAAAAGCATTAATCGGTTTTCCCTTAAAAATGCTACACTCAGGGTGAACACATTTGATTCCGGATATTAAAACTGACTTCACAAAATTAATTCTTACCCTTAACGTTGCAAAAGAGGAGAATGCACTGGTCCTTATATATATATATATATATATATATATATATATGCGTGTATGTATGTATGCAGGCAGAGAGTTAGAGAGTGATAGAGAAAGAGGGGGAAGAGGGAAAGAGAGAGAGAGGTGGAAAGGGGAAGAGAAAGAAGGAGAGAGGGAAAAAGAGGGAGAAAGAGAGGGCGAAAGAGAGTGTGTGTGTGAGAGAGAGAGAGAGAGAGAGAGTCAGCATTTGTCCTTTTGATACAAAAAAAAAAAAAACACTTAATATTTTTCGATGCCGGCCAAAACGGCAATATCCTATTTTGGTATCTTTACCGCTTAAAGAAGTTATCAGACTTTTTCCAATTAGACATTCAAATAATTTTATCAAAATTAAATAGGATCAAAGTTCAAAAACCGATATCTGATCAAATCGACAATTTGTTTAAGGAAGTCAAAATGAAAACTGTAGAGAAGAAAGGTTGCGATTTCAAACATAACAACTTTATATATATATATATATATTGCTTTGGATATACGCTCCTTTAGCGCTAGAGGGCGTCGTCAGTGATGTTCTAGAAAAGGATCATTGGACAGTTTCGGGTCTTTCAAACATCATACTGACCTCACCAAATCGACCCTTTCAGAGCTGATCAGACTCTGAAACGCCCTCTAAGAATAATGCTTGTTTGTGCTGACTTTTATAAGAATACCCCGTAATCTCACATTTGATTGGAGATTGACCAACAACCAATCACAACGGTGCGAGATCTATTTAAGCCGTTTACGGGTAATTTTTTACTTTCCTTTTTTTTTTTGGTGGACACCCCTCATCGGGTGCTTAGAAGGTAATTATGATTTTCCGTTGTTTACCCACTTCCCCACGTTTCATTTCACCAGCAATACTTACTATATACAGAGATAAGAAAATACAACCATTGAAATTAATAAATAGAATACAGCGAATCAAGCCGAAAGTGCTTATAAATAAAACCGTTTTAAAACTTTTACGAATAATAATATATGTATAAGAAATAAATAAATTACAGTGAGTTAAAACCGAGAGATCTTATAAATTACATAAGACATCTAAGACATGTTGACGAAAAAAAAACAAAAACAAAAGAATGAAATGGAAATAAACAATTGAGCGAGTTAACCCAAGAGGGCTTAAAAAAAAAAAAAATATATATATATATATATATATGTCATAATGAAACGTTTAAAACATATAGACGAGTAAAAGGAAAAAAAAAACGATAATAATCTCGTTTATGCGATTAAAATGAATAAATACAGCGAATTAAACTGAGGATGCTAATAAAAATCTTAATGACACGTTTAAAACATGTTGACGAGTAAAAACCCTAATCTATTAATTATAAAATTAAATATATGTTTTTTTTTTGAAACGAAACGAAACGAGATCGGGTGTGGGGGGGGTAAAATAAAAAAAATATTAGTGAGAAATTCGTGATCAAACATGCTTTGTATAAAGTCAGGTAGTAGGGGAGAATGAAAAAGGAAACCGAAAAATAAAGTCAATGGGAAGTCAAAACACAGGAGATTTCTAACCGGTAATAAAGGACGAAAAAGGGGGACAATCTATCAAATTCTACCTCTTTGACGTTACAATATTATGCAATTATTCCAGATGCTGGGGTAACGGGGGAATAATGGTTATGCGAAAACACATTTTCGCCATAGTGAAAATAAATAATGAAGAAGTAAGAGAAAACAAGTCCAATAAGAAATAGCATGAAATAAAAAACGCTTTCCTTCCTCCTTGCCTTTGAAGGTTCGTATGTGTTATTTTCATTGGCTTTAACGAACCATAAAAAAAATAAAAATAAATAAATAAAAGTAAAATACAGTAAAAACGACTATATATATATATATATATATGCAAAATGCTGATTTTCCGCAGTTACAATGAGTTTGTCTTTGTAATTTACTCCTGAAGCTGATCTTAGGAAAGGTCGAAAGTACTTGAGTTATAGAAATCTACGGTGCCTTCCTTGGTGATTTTCATCTTAATATCAAGAAATTAGGCAACTGGAAAGGATCAGTATAAAATACAGTGTAACCCGGATATAAGAGACACGGATATAAGAGAAATCCGGATATAAGAGAGATTTTCTCTGGTCCCAAATTAGAGCCCATACTTACCTAAACAAAATAGATCAAACCCGGATATAAGAGAAACCCGGATATAAGAGACTTCTTCTCCGGTCCCGACAACTCTCTTATATCCGGGTTACACTGTAAGTAGGCAAAATATGTCTATATTATTCAATCAAACATGTTGGAATGAAGATATGCTGCCTATATAAGACGTCCAGTACCGCGGCTGTTTGATGGAGTGATCTCTTCGATCCTGACCTGCCTTATCCCACGTTGTGATTGCTTGATCATAAGCAGGCCAAGATCGACTCCTCGCAGGTATCTTCGTGTTGGCCTAGTCCAAGCAGAGCGAAGCCGTAAAGTAAAATAGGTGAAAAACAACAGTCGAAATTATATAAAATTATTTATTATTTTTATATCGAGTACTTCGTACAATGGTTTGTTAATAGTTGTTTGGTCTAAGGTGTTAGCATACAGGTGTTTGTCGACCTAACCCTTTCCTAAATCGGATGCAACACTTGGTTAGGCTGGTAAGCTTTGGCTTGCGAAGTTAGCGAAGTTTGTTTAGCTGATTTGGTAAGTTTGGCTCAAGGCTGATGTGGAAGGTTCGCGTCGGAAGATAGTCACGTGCATTGTCTAGCACTCTGCGACTGGAACGGAATTTCGGGGGGATCTCTCTCCCGTCTCTCTTTTGTTTCTCTGAATTCTGGTGCAATGATGCAGTTGGGGAATTGGTATTTTCTCCACGTGTCATCTTCATTGTTTTTGGTCCTGAAAAATTAATTATTTCTCAATTTGGAAGTCCCTCACCCTTTTTTCGGGTAATGGCTTTAGGCATTATTCCGCCCACGGCTTCTTCCTGTTAGCATCTCTCATTAATGCTCCCCAATGTGTGTGGGCAGCTCCTTCACCTTCCTTGGTGTCTCGTCTATGCCTGCTTCCCTTTAGTGGGTTCAGGCAGCTCCTCCTCCTTCCTTGATCGCTCTTCTGCGCCTGTTACCTCCACCATTCAGTGAAGACTAACTTAAAAACAAAAATATTGTTCAAAATACTATCACCTCATAAGTGAATTGACACCAGTGTTGATTTCTTTTTCCTTGTCTGAAAGTTGAATAAACAATTGGATTTCTCGTCCTCGACCCAGAGAAACGTTCCCAGGCAAAATCTTGCAACTTACATTATGGTGACAATCGTTGGGCCGAATGTCAAGATATCGCCGTGTGATTTTTTTCTTTCTTTTTTTAAATTAATCCAGGTAGTTATTGCTTTCAATCCTGACATCTCTGCAGAAAAAAATTGCCAAGTCAGTTTTAAATTTCCTTTCCGTGTGAAATCAGATACTGGACACCTGGCTTTCATATCTTTTGGTTCACTTTAGAAACATTTCTTAAATGACATTTTTACCCCTAACTGGTATTTAAAATTTTATCCAATTCTCCTCATGTCGATCCCACGGACACGCTCATGGCGGCGTTATCTCTCAATTGTCAACACCTTACCCGTCGTACAAATTAAATATTTTTCTTAGCCGGCCACTTGGTTCGTTTTAGAATTTTCGATTCTCTGAGAACGAATTGTTATCAGTCTATCGTTCTTGATAGCCATTTAACCCTTTTCATGGTAGTTTATTTATCAAGATCTTGTTTTTATATGGTATTCAAAACCCTTATTAATTTCCAGCATCTTAAATAGTGTCATATATATATATATATATATATATATATATATATATATATATATATTAAGAAATGGACAAAGTCCGACAATTTATTTATTAAAGACATTTTTATGTTTAACGTTCTTTTTATAGATACAAGTATTTAATTCTATGAAAATTTCTCGGACATTCAGGCCGGTAAATGTTATTTAATACTGTTTATTATAAACAGAGCATTTACTTAAATACTTGTATCTATAAAAAAGAACGTTAAATATAAAAATGTCTTTAATATATATATATATATATATATATATATATATATATATATATATATATATAATTTAAATGTGGAATCCTGCAAGAAGAAAGTAAAGAAGAAAAAAAGAAAGGAATGGTAAATATACGAGGTAATATTGAAAACTTATTTTTATCTTATGTTTCGCAGATCACACTGAAACACCTGTTCCCGTACAATCACCGAAGTTAAGCAACGTCGAGCGCGGCTAGTACCTTGATGGGTTACTGTAAGTGTGGTTTAACGGATTATGGTCCAGAATTGTTAACTGGAGGGACGAGTTTCAATTCCACTTGTGTTTGTTATATTCACTTACGCGCAAATATCCGCGGGATTGGTATAAACCGACCTCTTTTCCCCAAGCTATGGATTAAACTTTAAATAACATGAAAATGTTGATAAGCTGTAGAAAACGAATAATTCAATCAACCAGCCGTTAGTGTTTTTTTTTTAAGTACATCTTTAAAAAAGCAATTTAAAAAAGAAAAAAGAAAGTATAATAATCGATTATGAAAAAAAAAAACATGACCCTCATCAGTTAATTCCGGACACGTCCTTCATCATCAAAATCAACTTCGCTTCCCTTCCCTGGAGAGGAAGTAGAACAGACCTCACTGACCTTAAAATTGATTGACTGTCTGCAGGCACTTGCTGGGTTGGGTCTAGTACAATACTGCTCACGCAAAAGCTTAGAAGGGGCGAGTAACACAGTTATTAAATTTTGAGGAAAATATTGTTTACAAAAATGCTTCCTCGCAGACCGTAAAAAAATTATCCGCGGGACAACACGCGACCCACGGCGCGCTTGTTTTGAAACCCCTGTATCAGACGTTACTATGATCTCGTTATATATATATATATATATATATATATATATATATGCGCGTAGTGGTTAGTGCTATAAGACTACAGTATTTAAAAGAAAATGGGGAAAAGTGAAATATTTGATAAAAGAATAAATGGAGTGTCACTTCATTTTAAATCTTTTTATTATTGGAATTGCGACCCCTTTCACATAAATACACTTGGAAAGATACAAATCCACCTCTTTTGCAAGCACCCACCACCTACCTAGCCCAGTATACGGTTCCCTACGTGCAAACCGCTAGTGGCACGTTGGCGGGCCACCGGTGCCCCCCCCCAGCGGTAGTGGCAGCCACCGGTGGCCCTCTAGCTGTACGCCCGTGTAACATTGTCGTGACGAAAAGGCCGGCGTTCTGACAGCGGGCCACCATCGGTAAACGCTAGTAGCATGCTGCCTAACGGCAAATTGGTGGCTTGAGTGTAGGGAGTTAGTAGAAGAGCAGACTGTACTCTCAAGCTTTGGCTGGCAACCAGTGTAGGAGAAGGACAATTTTCGAATTAAAAACCATTTACAACTGAGCAATATTCATCTGTAAAAACGTACAAAAGCAACATCTAGCATGCCGAGACTGCAGCCCTATGCTTCAACAGGAGAGTTTACAGGGTGAACGTCCTCCTCACATACATATAATATCACTGTTTAATAAAATTTAAAAATTCAGGGAGAGCAATGCAAGAACGTCCCTACACGCAAAACGCAAGTGCCTCGTTGGCGGGCATCTGATGGCAATGTCAGCGGTCCTCTGGTGGCATTCACCGGCAGTCCACCTGCGGGACAACGGTGGACCACTAGCGGTCCGAAAGTGGTAACAATGCCGAGACGAACACGCTGGCGGTCCGACAGCGGTAGACGCTAGTGGTATGCCACCCAGTGACTGATTGGTGGCTTAAGCCACCAATCAGTCACTGGGTGGCATTTAATGCAACATTTATAGTAATAAGAAATAATATCGCACCAGAAAAAAAAAAATTAACGTTTTAGATACAAAACTGAAGCTATCTGATATAGATTCTCATACGTCTCGAGAAACATACTTTTGTTAGACAGGCACGTAAGGCTGATGTCAATAGCCGAATTGGTAAAGGCACAATTTGGGTTCCATGATAGAAAAAAGGGGATGCAGGTTCTATTGTTGTCAGTAGTATATATATATATATATATATATATATATATATATATATATATATAACGGACGAAAAGCGTCAGGAAATATTCCTGTTGCTATATCCCCAGATCATCACTGTTGCACAATATGTGTACTTGTGCAGGTCACTAGCGGGACTGAAGTATTACGACACAAACCTAAAAACTGCATGAGGTTGTCGGGTCCTCTTACTTGTCCACCATTATATATATATCTAAGTACGCTTAGAAAGTAATGTCACCTATTTATTTACACGGAAGCAAGAGATACGATGAGCACAATAACACTGTAGGATAGAGCAAGTTTTCTGTGACAAAATACTATTTTTTCTCACATTGTCAATACCATACCTGATGAACTGATCGGGGAACTTTTCATTACGCAGGTTGACTGCTTGCTGGGACGAACGAAACATGACTAGTTGCACACATCGATGTAGCCACAACTAAAGCGCATTACTCAATGTCTAATTGTATTCACATCCACTGTTTGATCTCCATAAACATACAGAAACTGTTGACAAATGAAAATGGGTGAATTTTTTCGTATGTTCTTTCATATCAGACGCCATTCTGCCTTCTGAAAATAGTTTCTTTGTAATTGTCATCTCTCTCTTTTGTTCTGAATCATAGTTGACTATATATATATATATATATATATATTACATATATATTACTATATATATTACATTATATATTACAATTTTACATATTACAAAATATATGTAATATATATTACATATGTATTACTACATATATGACATATTATTCTGATTACAAAACTATTCAAAGAAAACTTATTCATTCATTTAATTCTTTTTTTAAATCATTTCATCGCATGGTAATAATCCCACTATGATGCAAGTGGTTACTGGAAGTGAAAGAGAATGAAAAGTGTGGAGATAGGACAATAAAAGAACGGAATTCGGGAAGTCAGAAGATAGTAATTGGTGTTGTATTTACATTTTTAAAGAACGTAGTTGGTAAGGAAGCAGGGAAATCGGTAGGTAGTCCCATAGACGAGAAGAACGAGAAAAGAAACTATTAAAATAGACCTGACGGTTGCAACTAGCTAATTCAGCAGTAAAACGATGAGACCTATTTGCCAATCTAGTAGCACGTTTAAATTCATACAGTCGAAGCACCAAGGAGGAGAGCTCATCACAACACTTTCCATGAAAATTTTGGGAACATACGCTATAGCGGCTAGAAAATGACTCAAATCGAGATGCCTGATCAAGATCGATTACATTACAGATCCTTTTTTGGGTTTTGTTAATGATGTAATGAATATGCATACACCTGGGTTCCCCATCACAGTAAAATGATTGGCTGGTGTCAGCCATAAATACAGACTGATGTGGAGGTACAGGGACTACGCCTAATTGTCTACGCCATTGCCTACGCTTATTGACTACGCCTATTGCCTACCACTACGACGAGGACCAGTCCATTACGGTTACCTGCTAGATTGTCTTACCCGGTTACAGTAGCCAAAACCACTTAGGTACTTCGAACAAATATATGCTTTTCTGGGACATATCAGTTAAAAATCTCGAAATATATAGTAGGATCACCAGACCAGATATGGCAACAAGATGGGTTCTGACAAGAAAAAGTATCTGGCATGAGTTGGTAATGAACCAATTTTTCTAGTGGTAGACCTATCTTCTTTTTACCTCTCCACAACCTTCTATCCTTTGCAGCTTGAAAGACATGCCACCAACTTCTTTTTCTACTATTTACACAGACTTGTTAGGTATGTTGATGTTTACGTCTGTCCATCTCACTTTCAATATGTCCCGTGACTGTCAAATTCTCCAAGCCTTCTTTCTTCGTTATGGGTCAGATAAATCTCGAATGTCTATTTCTGATTCGAAGTATACATGTCCTTTTTGTTTCTATTTCCTTTCAAACTTCCTCGTTACTCGATAAATGCTATTAAATTTCACTAAAATTTGGCAAACATGGATCCTCGTGCACTCAAAAAAACCAGAGTATCAAAAGGACAGTTTTTCACATGACACAGTTTTTATTTGAGCTACCTTTACACTTCGGCAATGTTTATTGCTTTAAAAAGCGATGATTAGAATTGTAATAAAACCTAAATATATGAAAGTGAATTCATTTTTGTTCTTGAAATTGAAAACAAAATTAATAAACACTATTTATTTATTATATTATTTATTGGAATTGTGTGTGTGTGTGTGTAACGAATGGACGGCCGCAATTTTTGACGGATTTGCACCAAAATTTACATGCACATGCTCCAAGTTAGCGGAAAGGCCAAGACCGACTTTGCATTTCCCAACTCCCATCGATAGTAGAAATAATCTATTTTTCATGCTTCTACGGCAGTTTTCATGTAGTTTAAGGTCATTTTGTACTGGCCAGAGTGAGAGCCAATAGCTGATTGCCACGAATAGGCAGAAAGATTCTATTGGCCAACGTGAGAGCCAACAGCTGACTGACACAAATATTAACTAGCAAGCTAGCATGCAAAAAAATCGATAGCTGCATTCGTCACGAGTGGGAAAAATTTAAATCTGCATGGCACTTTACTCCAATTGGCTCATTCGCTTGCTTAAACTCAACGTTGATTCTGATTCCGCAGAACTGGGTTGGGTGTGAAAAAGTATTTGTTGTTAACATTCTTTTTTCATTCAGTTTTTCCAGTTAAGAGTCCTTTTTTAAAGCTGATCGTTTTGTGTTCATTTTGTTTATTTTTTTTTGTAACAGATTTAATGTTTAGTATAGAGCTTAGAAAAAATTCGCAGTGTGAGATAGGCAAGAAGTAAGGCATGTAGCAACATCAGCACGGCAAAGGGCACTCCTTTAAAGGCAAGGAAGGGCAAAAATATTTTAAGTCAAGTGATAGCGATTGCGGTGTGACTCGTACGATTTTTTAATCAAGCACGGGCAACGCCGGGTCATGCCGCTAGTGGTAAATAATAAGGATTTACAAACTGATAGTTGGTTCACATATTTTAATAATTTAGTAAATGTTTATAAATTTATAAATAAAAAATTGGTTTCATATTTATTTCTTATAAATTGGTAAAATGATAAATATTGCATTGCATTAATCTTAATACAATTGTATTAGTTTTTAGAATGTTGTAAATATAAAATTCTTCTTCTAAATAAACAATTTAATGAATAAATAGTATTTAATAGTTTTGTTGTACATTCTCAAGAACAAATTCCCAAGTTGGCATCTACG